CGCTTCCCCATTGGTCGATTAGTTATTTCACTTTTGCGGCTTTCGGTCCGCTTTGTTCGCCCGGCATCTTTTATCCTTTCTTTCTCGTGACATAACTTTTCTTGAAAATTAAAACTACTCATATTTATTTACTTGATTTTATCATTATATTTTATATTAATTATATTTTTATGCTGTTTTTGTGATTTTTTTTTTTTTTTTTTGTTGCCTCTGATGATATCTTTTCTCGGCGTGCTCCCAGGAGATGTGCAGTTAACAAATTTGCTATTTACTTTAATCAGTGCTGAATCGCCTGATAATTAGCATTCTGGTGGCCCTGATCTCTTAAAGGAATTACGAGTTTAATGTTTGTTCCGTTAGAGGCATCAGAAAAAACTTCAGTCGTTTTGAGATGTCCTTGGTGTATTTTTGATCATTATCATTCATCCTTCGAACACCATCAGTGCTCCACGATGTCGAAGTTTCTTACCAGCTGCGTTTATAATTCTGTGAATTATTTTAATACTATGGAAACTGCTGTTCAGGAAAAGAAGGCTGAGAATGAACGCAACAAATACAATCATAATTTTGACGGTCTTTATTGCACATGCAATCGTCCATATCCGTGTGTCGGATATGAAGATGAAGAAATGTTGCAGTGTATTGTGTGCGAGGATTGGTTTCATTTACAAGTAAAAATCTTATACTATTAGATTCTTTAAACGATTTTTTTTTCTTTATTTCTCAATATTTTCTTTTTTGCTTTTTTTTGTCTCAATTTTTATATTTGTTGAGTAAGGTTTTGTTCAACGCCAGAATTATTTTTATCGTATACATCACATCATGTTCTTTTGAATTTATTCGTCAGTTTCGGTCTCATTCATCGCTCTTTTGGACCAATTTTTTGCTACTTTTTTTAATTTGATAAAATTGTGCTTCATTCCCTTCCTCACTCCACATGCTTTATTCTGCTTTTTGCGCCTTTTCGCCCAATTTTTTGAATTTTCTCACATATATGATGAGACATTTGCCAGCTAATTACAACCTTTTTGCGATAGTTTTCATCATATTTCGAAC